ACACACACACACACACACACACACACACACACACACACACACACACAAAGTGTCCGAAACCTTTCTTGACACAATTCGTAGGAAAGTAGAACGGATTAAACTCAACAGAAAAGTCAAATATCATTTTGCGAAATTCGCAATAGTTTTCGTGTAATTAATTATTTTGTCTGAACAAATTAGCGCTCGGGCCGGCGCGCGACCGTGGTACACGCGAATCGCGGCTCGCTGCGTCCCTCCGCCCATAGCTACGCTGTCTCATAACTACGGTAACTATGGCTACGAGACAGAATAATTAATTATTCGAAAACTATTGCGAATTTCGGAAAATGATATTTGACTTTTCTGTTCCGTTTAATCTGTTCTACTTTCTTACGAATTGTGTCAAGAAAGATTTCGGATACTCTGTATGTGTGTATGTGTGTGGTGTGTGTGTGTGTGTGTGTGTGTACACTTAATAAACAAAATGTTAGTAATATACTAGTATATTGTGACAGCAAATTCAATTAAAACCTTACAACAAAACCATAATCATCTGTGTCTGCATTAAAGCAGACAGCAGAACCTGCTGTCCACCCACACAATACAACGTTTAAAATCGGAACACAATATGTCTTAAAGACGTTTAAAAGACATTTAAATACGTCTCTCAGACGTCGGAATAAGACATCTCTAAGACGTCTTTAAAACATTTTTTAAGATGTCTTATATTTAGACATTGTGTTGTGTGAGCATGATTTGATGACAGATTGGCAGAAACCGAACAAGTCTTGCCGCTAAATTGCGCGCAATAAAGTATGCTCGGTTTCTGCCACCAATCTGCCGTCAGACTGTTACAGGGTCTGCTTAGGTTTCTGTCGTCAATATGCTGACATAGCATGTCAACAAGCTCTATCAGATTTATGATAGGAATTTTGCAATATCGTTAGATAGAACAAATTTTGTGTGAGATTTGTAGCTTTTCTGGCATCAAAAATTTATAGCCAATTGTGTTCAGAATCTATTTGCGCAAGTTTGGCTATCTTAACATTTCATGATAATATTTGCTAATATCAAAGTAATACAGGGAATATACATATATGATATAGAGTTGCTCCCCTCCACATGTTAAGTATCATTTTATTGTACTGTTCATATAAATATACACATTTACGATAGTAACGAAATATTGTCAAATCCATTTTTATATAATATCCAAATACATATAGTATTATTTTCAATTATTATTTATATTTCCTTTGATTATAATACACGATATTGTTACGTGCTTCTTACCATTTCAAATATGAACACTTATTTCAGGTCTTATAAGACTGTTTAATACTACACACAGAAAAATGGTTGGCCGCAAGAGCTAAAATATCGTTATGATAGCTAAGATGTGTCATTGGTTAATGTCATTGCTACCAAAGATAACTTTATTATTAGGTATTTTAGCTTTTTAACTTAGTATTTTTTAACTTTATATATTTTTTAACCTTAGTGTTTTCACTTTTCGGCACTACAGCAAAAAATATTCGCTGCTAGATACACATAGTATCAGCTTATACATCACATAATAATAAATATTCTTATTTCTTACTAGAAATTTAATTTTTTTAACTGAAATGTTTCTTAAGGTTTCTTACAATGTATGATTATTTTAACTGAAATTAGCTATTTAACTAATTCGATGTTACATTATATTTGAAAAACTCGCCTTTCTCAAATTTGAGAACCCGGGGCTCTAGATTATAAGTTGCCTGCATTACGCGCTACGTCTTATCCAATTGATAAAAATTATATTTTTTCCACAGTTTCTTCTTAATTTAATTAAAACTATAAATAAGATCTATTAGTTTTATTAGTTTTTTATTTAAATTAATAGTAACACATACACACACATCTTGTTTCAATATCTTCCAAGATTATTTCACATCTTACAAGAGGTGTTTAACAATTAACGATGTAATGCTCGTGCGCAGAGAGTGATAGTGAAAAACCTTGTAAATTTAATTATTTACAGAATTGAATTCTTGGGATTTAATCGTGTAAGGTATTCGTGTAAGAAATATATATCACTTTCTTAGTTACTTAAACAAAGTGCGCCTTTAATTTCGGCTAATAGAATGTATATCTCAGCGAATTTTGCTTATAATAGCCAACTTCTAGCAATGACAACAAAACGATTAGCTTTTTAGCTAAGTCCGAATCAGTCTCAAATTTAGCTGATGTTACTAAATCATTTTTTTGCGTGTAATAGAAATGTATATATATATATATGTATAATGTATATACGAATATGTATAAACACAGTACATTATATATTTCGAACTTCTTTTGCTTATTTTTTATAGACAATGATTATTAAAATTTTTCGAAGGTTATTTAGCGATATGCTTTTGAATATATGCCTTGAATATATAGAAAGGTCAGGATCCTTTAGTCAGGATCGGCCAGATGTCCTTTAACATGCATAATTATAAAAAATACTTAACTTAATATTTACAGTCAGTAAAACTTAAGTTAATAAATATTTTATTTACAAAATATTCTGAACTTCACTATTTCTGAAATTAATCCTGAATTCTTTAAATTATGACAAAGTTACTTAATATTAATCCTTGTGTCCAGTACTTAATATTAATTCTTAACACAAACTAACAGTCATTAATTAATAATTTCACACTTAACAATATAACTGTTTTATAACACATGCGTTATATCGTATTTACATTGTTAAGTGGAAAATTATAACATTAATATTATGTTACTAATAATTAGTGTTTACTGGATAGCGAAAAAGGTATCAAATAAAAAAACTTTTATTCGTTTTTTGTAATGTTTTTTGTAGTATGACGTTATTACTATTTAGCCGATGTTTTTTGATAGTTAGTGTTTGCCTCTTGTAAATATATGATTCAGATTACATTCAGGAAATAAGGAGACTCACAATTGAATAGAATAATCCAAACATTGATTATTCAAATACCGATTATATTAAGTGTCTACTACTAAAAGTGTAAAGTAGTACGTACTCACTATTTACTGCGCTATTCTTTATAAAAATTTCAATGGCAAAGTCTTGAGACATCTTTTTCACGACGCTTAATAAAACAATATAATTACTGATCAGGTGTTGGGAAATAATACATTGTATGTGAAGTTTTCGCTGTTACAAGTTACCTTTTTTCGACTAGCAACTTGGCAACGACGTTATTCCTTTTTTCATTAATGACACTCTCTTCCTTCCCCCTTACTCATTCCTATCTCTCTCCATTTTCTCCATTCCCTCCATTCATCCCATTCCTCATCTACTCCTCTCCTTTTTCTTCTTCCCTCTTTCTCCCTCTTTCATGTTACCTTCATTATTATTTTATTTATGAACATGTGTTATATATGTACATAGGGTGACTGCGAAACGTCTAAAGAATTTCAAAACGTAATAAAAATAATAATAGGAATTGAAATCTAGTTATACTTGTTGGATAACAATAAGAGCAAATCACTTTTGTTAATGGGTAACGAGTAATGGTAACGAGATATTTTTAAAAAGTAACACTAAATCTTCCTTCTTATGTATACTAAGTAAAATGTAGCTTTGTATACATATGGTATGTAGATTTAGGTGTTTGAGCGAATGTGTACATAGTACTCGTTAAACTGAATAGAAAAATCCTATATCATTTTTTAAACTTCTACGTTGATTATTACGGTACTAATGAAAGAAGATAAGCGAATATAATGAAAGAAAATACACGTGTAATATACACACGATAGAAGAATTTCTTTAGGCAGTTTGAAAAGACATATCTTGGGCTTGTTGACTATTTTTTAGCAACGGTGGAAGTCGGATGAAAGCAAAAAACGAAGTACAGTGTTTGCTCATATTTAGGTAAAATTATATAAATGATTATCCAGATAATATTTTTTTGTGCTATCTTATCTTTATCTACGTAGTAAAAATATATATTATTTTTATCTGCATTTCTCAGGTAGAAAAAGCAATTATCTTTACTAAATTATCTAGAATAACATCCGAATAATTTGGAATACATTTTTGTAAATGTAGAAAATATTAAAATATTTACTTTTACGTGATTAAAAACTATTTTTGCATTAGTACAGCCTATATCGGACTACATTGAGATTAAGATTGAATAAATATTTATCTTTTATAATCAGGAAAAAGTGACAACAAAATTAATATATCTCACAAAAATCATTTATCGAATAGTTCATATGTAAAAATGTTGTTTTTGCGTAAGAAAGATTTATTAATAAAAATATAAATATATTTTTATATTCTCTTTTAACTGCAACTTTTTCCATAATTTTTTTTACATAAATGGTCTTACAAATATTATCTGGAAATTATTTAGATGTGTCGCTATATAACTTAATTTTTATCTAAATTTTATCTGAATTATCATAGTAATTATTGAGATATCAATGAAAGAAAACTAATCGAACTATACAGTTCAGTGCAATTCAGTGGGACGAGTTATGACAGTCTAGACAAGTTGAAAAGACAAGTCTAGGGTTTGTTGATTGTCCTCTAGTAATAGTGAAATTCGGATGGCAGCGAAAAGCGGATTATCGCTGCGAGCAACGAACGGCGCGTTGTACACCTAATTTTAGACTGAATGTCTATATAAAGTGTCTGATAGGTAAGAATTCGAAAATCGTATATATGTAGATTAAGTCGAACTAAACATAAAATTCCTCCATTTTGTAAACAACCACATAAACTTTTAAGTTATTAATTGAAGATCAACAATTATCACGCACGATCGTTTATCAATCTTTTTTAATTAACAATTTAAAAACCTAGTTTGCAAAATGGTAAACGACTTTTTGTTCACTTAATATACAAACACACAACGGAAATTGTACTTACCGTCATACCCTGTATCGTATCGTATTCGATCATTTATCAATCTTCCTTAAATAATAATTCTAAATTTTACGTAGTTGTTTGTATGATAGAAAAATTTTTTGTTTAGTTTGACCTAATCTATATTATATGAGCGCTTTCTCAAATCGTCAAACATTTTATATTTATCGTCGTTAGGAGATTAAATAAATTCAAGATATATCTCTTCACTACTATAACCTAAAGCTACTGCTACCTCTTACTGCTTTGCATGCATCGATTGATCAATTTTCTTTCATTATATCTTGATAATTACCATAGTGATTTATATAATGAATATTGAGATAATAATGTATATGAGTATTGAGATAATAATGAGATAATAATGAGTAATGAGATAATAGAGTATTTTTCTATTAAGTTTAATCTGTACGTGAATAGTTGGACAGATAAATTTAAACATCATACATACATTCTCTCAGACAACATTATGACATATTAAAAACGTCTTAAAATTCCTAAGACGTCTAAAAAAATTATCAGAAAAACATCATTATTAGTATCAAGACATTTTAAAAACATCCTGTTGAAGACTATTTTAAGACCTTTATGCATATATATTCAACTACTGATTTTTTAAATTATGTATTAGACATTAAAAAGGATAAAATGTTTTATTTAATATCGTTTATTTGCAGCAGTCAGTCAAGAATTATGATTAGCTTGTGGATTTGCTTATCCCTCTATTTTATTTGCTCAAGAGTAGTATTAGAAATCGATGAGAAAACACAGAGAATGGTGATATCCAAAAAGTATATATCATGTGCTTTAAACTTTAAAATTTATGCCAGATGCCACTATTATCTACTATTGATTCTTAATATTAATCCTGAACAAATGGATGAATAAATCCACAATCTAATCATAATTCTAAAGAAAACTATTTGTATGGAAGAAAAAAGATTTTTATTCGACACAATAATTCAACTGGAAACTCTTTCTCTAATAAATTATACAAATTAATAATTAATTATTAATTAATACAATTAAGAACTGATTAATACTAATATTATTAATTAATAATTAATAATTATATTAATAATTAATATTAATATTATTAATATAATTAATAATTAATAATTTCATAAGTTTTATAAGATTTTTTCCCGTACTCAGATATTCTCGTACACGATGCTCACAAAAACTAAGAAATTGTTATGATATTTGTTATACAACGTGTGCATAAATCTCATAGTAATATAGACAGTTACACAATGTCTTAAAAATATTTTACAACAGACGAATTTAAAATGTTTTTTTATAAAGTCTTCAAGATATCTATAAGACTTCTTTTGGTAAAGTTTAAAAGATATTTGAGATAAGATGTCTTTTAGACATGCATATTTCGTGAGCTATAGGGTATCTGAATCTAAATACCTGAGATAACTGTACATACAAATAACGATCTTGTATGTACAGAGTATTTAACGGATGTCTGAACATAATCATCCTTCGTGTGCTTGTAGATTGTAGATTAGGTCCAACTGAACAAACAAGTCCTGTACCATTTTGTAAATAATCATGTGAAATTTAGAGTTATTATTTAAAGAAGACTGATATATAAAATTGCACATCTAGTTGTTCTGGTGAATTAATGGTTCTTTGTAAACTAGTAATCTATCATCGTTACTGTTTTCATGCACTTTCGAATATGTAGTTATTTAAGTAATTTCTACGTCTATATGGAAATAATTATAATGCTACTAATTAATAAAATTAAAAATAATTGATACTAATTATAACTTTATTAAACCTTACGGAAAAAATGGCTCAGGACTTTTCGACTCAAATATTCATAAGCAACAATGTTATTTAAATTATATAGATGTAAATTAATTTATACATTATAATACACTATAGAAATTTATTCTATGATTATTGATTATTTGAACATGTAATTTAAAATTCACGAATTTTTTTGCGTTCATCTTCTTGATTCAAAAATACTGTGAATATAAGAATAACGAATTTAAGAATATAGAATCCAAAGTACTAAAATCCATGTTTATAATTAGCGAATTCAAGGATTTAACTGCTCAAAGGATTAAAAGTCCAAGAATCTTGGAATCCAAGAATCTAATAATTTATATATGTTAGAAATCCAAAACCTTATAGATGTGGAGCCTAAAAATCCAAAGATCCAGGAATCCAAGATTTCTTCGTTATCTTTATCTCTTAGTTATAATGTTTAAAGACTATGTTTTAGAGTATCTTCTGTTATGTTTTCTTGAAACTGTAAGAACTTCTTAATAAACTTTTATTTCATTTCTCATTTTTCTCAATCTTCATTTCACAATTAATTTTTTAAAGTAGTCTATAACTATAGTCATTCTTAATAATTTACTCCCGTAATTTCTCGATTTTTTATATGCTTGCTCTTCCCCTTTCTTCTTTTTTACTATTCCGTTGCCCCTCCCCTTCCCCTCTCTCTCTCTCTTTCTTTCTCTCTCTTTCACTATCTCTATCTCTATCTTCATCGCTTTAATAATAACGCAGCAAACTCGCACAATTTTGTTCACAGTTTTTGTAGCGAGTTCGTTTCCTCTTTCATTAAAAGATTAAGACGGACGGTAAAATTTCACGTATTTTCTTTATTTTTTGTTTCTGTTAAGTCGGTGACCTGATGTCCGCTGCTGAAGGCACAAGGCTTTGCACTAGAACTCGGTCACCTAGCCTAGCTCACTCAACTACAACCTACTACCAAACTAGCTGCACGTTCTTATGAAAATTTGTTTAAATCTCGAGTGGAAGCACAAAATGTACAAAATAACTAGTAAATATTTTACTTTGGTGGAATAAAAACATTTTTATGTGACCAATGATACGCATAAAAATTTGTAATTAAAGAGATCTGTTTTTTAATATTTCACATAAGTTTTTTGTTAATAAGATATTTTAATAGAAATAATAATAGAGTAATCGATATGTTCAATTATTATTTGAAAAATGCAACCACTCGAGAATTAGTTTAATTTAATAAGTTTCCATACTTTCGCGCGTTCTGGGCTTTAATGCTGTTTTAAACAATCTCTCTCTCTCTCTCTCACCCCCCTCTCTCTTTTCCTCTCCCTTTCGTTCTTACTTTCTTTCCAGTGCACGCGCTCTATCACTTTTAGTATTTCCATTAGTATGGAATGAATGGTGATCGATTCATTTCAAGCATATCCTATATCGTTCATCATTCTTAATTATTTTCTTATAAAATTTAATCTTCGATTATTTAACGGATAGAAGAAATTAACTTTAAATTCTGATTTATATGATTGAAAATTGCAAGACAGATAACAATGGAATACTTTTGAAGCCTAGAGTTTTTGAATTCCTCTATTTGTAAATTCCTTATTTCTTTCAGATTATTAATTTTTTTAGGTGTAGCTTCATATAGATGCTAAATAATGATGTAATTGCGCTCATTGATACATAGAAAAAAATTATAGTGTTAATAGTTTTACAATTTTCAAACCGATAAACAAATTTAAAGTTGACTTATTCTATATACTTAAAATATATCTTTTTCTTAATAAAAAAAATATGTATTCTCCGATATTTCTGTTTAATGATAATTTAATCAAAGTGTTCTATACTGGGTGCCCCAAAAAAAGACATCAGTATTGTTTATAAATATCGTTATATTTTCTCGCATACTTTTGCAGGACGTCCTGTACATTTTACTGTTATTTATTAAAAACAAATAATTAGTTAACATTTCTAAATCAATTGAATATATATTGGGAAAGAAAAGTATCAATATATTACAATGGTTCTGTCGAAAGTCATGTCCGCCAATTTGTTGTAAAAATTTCAGGATTGGTAAAAAAAGAAACATATCAGACAATATTACTATATCTGTTCTTTAATTTTTACAATATCTCTAGTTCACACACAAATCGATATAATTTTGCCAACGGTTTGATAGTTTAAAGAAGTTCGTAGTAAAAATTTATTCCGGTTATACGTAGACAACGATGCACGATTCCCTGCAGTGTCTACTTAAAAATATCTAATACATGTTACAAAAATTATTCAAGTGGAAATGAAGTTAAGTTTGACAATGAAAGGAACGAGGTGCTATAGAACATTGCATTTTGCTATATGTGACTAAAATAGAGTTCTACTATAAAAAAAAATAGTTGTAAATTATTAAAACATTAATAAAAACATATTGGCTGACCCGGAGAAAAAGAAGAAATGTTTATAAAAATGTTTAATATATATTTTTTTCTTTTGCAAATCCTTAGATTTTTCAACGAACTAGAACAATCATTGCTTTCGATACAACCTTTGTATATGAATATGCTTGCGCGTGCGTGCATGTGTATGCGTGCGCACGTATCTCCAATATTATTTATACATTTATGTGAATATACCGTATTTTTATAAGAATAAAATAAAATAATAGTAAGAGTGTAGTGTACAATTGTAATGAAAAGCATTATGCACTAAAAATTTCAGTTTTATAACATGTATTGTTTAAGCAATATGCTCTAACTATAGCATACTATGTACCCTTTAAAAAATATATATATTTTTGCGAAAAGAATTCTATCACTTCGGCCCTTCCCTTCTTTTGAGGACGCCCTGTACATCTCCACATATGGTCTGTATTAATAAGAAAGAATACTAATACACAGTTTCAAACGCTATCCTGCTGCGGTGTAGATTTTATCCAATCTTCTGATTCTCACGCATTCTGACGTTTAGCTTTCTATTATATTTCTTCACCTTTCTCACTCTTCCCCTTCCCTTCCTCCCATTCTTTCGTCCTCACACACGCGTGCACATACACGCCCAATCTTTCATACTCTCATATTCTTTTATCTTTCTTAATATAAACAGTGTACATTCTAGCAAGATATATTATGCTGTATGTGTATGTATGATATAGATTCTATATTGTTATGCATATTGTTTCTTTTTTGTTTTCTTAATTCATGTTCGGTTCATGTAACGCTGCTCAACAGCGCCCAACTTGCGGACTTGATTCGCTTTCGCTTTTCTTACAGCCAAAATACGGGAGAATGCTGTATTATTTGTGATTAAAAAATTTAATTTTCAAACCTCTTGTAACAATATTGCCAATTACTTAGATTATTCTCTTTTGTCATTATCGCAATTTAGTTATTTTCACCGTATCACTATATCTTTCTACCCCCTCTATTCCTCAAAACCGCTAAACCAAACGCACTTGTCGCTATTTGTTTTCTCACAAATGACATATGTGACGTGTCTGATATACCAATGTTTTATCATATTATACATTACATTTACATATCGATTGTATGTGTAAGGATGTATCCGGATAAGGGATATAGCGATAAAATGTAAATTGCAGATAGCTTTTTTTATATAGCTTCGCTCTGTACTGTTCTCTATGTATCACAGCCTGGGCCGCGCCACTGCCTTTCTCTTACAACGTATATAATCGTTCATCCCTGTTTACCATTTTCTTTACTAACTCCATTTGAAATACGCGTATTTCTGCGTTTTTTTCCAACATGCAGAGTTCTTTCTTTTTTTCGTTCTTGTTCTCGAGCCGGCCTCACATGGTTCGCGCGAGACTGTTAATGCGAGCGATCGAATATTCGTAAGTTTATAAACAAAAGAGCATATAATTACCTGTGAACCAAAGTAAATTAGTGATGTCAGACAATGTGATTTTTCGCACACATGCACTTTATTTACTCTATTCATCTATTCTTACTTTATTCGATACAGTTTATACGATACAGAACGATACAGAACGTTTATATTACTTGTTTTAATATTTTATATTCTTTTCTCGCGATCATACCATCCATATACATACATCACTGAAGCGCGCATACGATAAGTCCATGATCCTTTCGCTAGTTTGCGTGTGTGAGAAATCCCACAATCTGACATCATTAAAATAAAAATGACTGTTTGAATTTAAATTATTTCCGATAGATAAATATTAAAATGCAGAGATTCTAAATTTTATAGGTGGCTTCATAAGTCCGTGGACGTTTCACGGATTGTAAAAATCTGATATCACGTGTTTTGTGCCATGGATCTTTGGTAACATAAAGCCTCCATCCTTCGAAGTCTCATTTTGTATATCAATGACACCATATGGATCTTTGGTACCGCGATCCTTTATCATAGATATCGATCGCGTATCCTTAATACGTCGTAATTAAACAGATCTTATTATCCGTCACTTTAACAAATTTTCGATCACCCTTTAATACAATTTTGTCTCCGTATTTTTTAACAGTGAATATATCTGTATCGCGTCATGTATGCGAACAGTGTGAGAACGGCTTACTTATATTTGTCTTTACAAACTGTATAAAGATCAATTCATCTAGAGTGTCAACCCTAGAAACAGTTGATCGTCAAGAATCAACTAATGTCTGTAATGAATCTAAAACGGAGTCTGATACAATATGTTGACGGTGAGGCAGTGGCATAGTGGTGCACTAGTTGCGTACGAAAGTTGCGCAGGCCGTTTTCCACGTCCATGCGTCTATCGACGCCGTTGCTGCTGCTGCTGCTGCTGCTGCTGCTGCTGCTGCTGCTGATGCTGCTGCTGCTGCTATCGCGACATCGACGAGCTTTTTCAGCCGACCGGCGCAATCGCCGTTGATCGGCGACTGGGAAACTAGGGCACCACATCCCAGATTTCGGCGAGGAAAACTGGCAGCTTCTTATTCTTAAATTTCAGGTTCAAGCACATCTGACTATTTTGATTCCCGAGGGTTCTAAGTTCGGTTAGAACCGAAAGAAGCTTCGCGAAGATTGTGCCAGATTTTGGTCTACGACGATTATCCACATACGCTTTCAATGTCTTCAAATAGATTTCCTGAAGTTTCTCTACTTTTTTACTTTCCACTAGATTGGGTCTCTCTGTAAAGTAATGATTACCATTGAATTAAAAAAAGTGTGTAATTAAAAAGTGTGTAATATTCTATGCAAATAATCATAATAGGTAAGGGAAGAGAGAAGAAGAAAAGATATATTGTACAGGGTTTGACGATAGATCGGAAATCACTTAAATGCATAGTTTATAAAGCGTTCGGAAAACCAATAATCTATATATATGAAACAATAACTGTTAACAGCTTAAATATCTTGGAATATATATGGTCTAGAGGAAAATTTGTGTGACTTCACAGTGTGAGGATTTCACGGTACGAAGAGGGCTGTCAGAAGAAGTATGGTAATAATTTTTGTGGGAGCACTTCGGAGATTTCAAAGTCGTCCATTTTTTTAATTACATGCTATATTTGTTTTTATTTTTAGTGCAACAGCGATGTTTAGATGAGTTCAACATCCGGTACTCAATAAAAAAGTAAGACAATAATTCTTACTTCATAAGAGATGCTCGAAGTGATATCCGTTTATATATAAAACTGTTGCAATTGTTGAATTTCTAAAGCACTTTTTAACACTTTCAGGCTGATTGTCGTATATGTTATAATAATTTGTTGCTTCATATTTTCTAGTGTGGTCCGTACTTTCTGATATACAATATCCTAGTACTAATTGCTAAGTTACAATAAGAAATATAAATATTTACATTTCTTACTATAAATTCTAGAGTTTTAGGAATTCTAGGAGTTGTAGAAATTAAAAAGTTTTAGACTTTAGCATCAGAGATACTGAGATCTTTCAGATCAATTAATCTAACTTAGCTCTTCTGTAGTTTTGGTAACAAGTTTCATTTACTGAGCAAGTATATATCTTCCTCCTTATAGAGGAACTTAGTAAAACTCAATAAGGACATGAGTATTGTAGGTTGAACGGTATCTAGATCGTACATGTTTCTTACAACGTATATTTCAACGGTGTCAAAAATTAAGAGAAACCGAAAGATTGAGTACACGAACATCTAAACGAATAAAAAAGAATACGTCATAAAGATAATGAAATCAATAATGTAGTTGCAATAATGCATGCAAACCCATAGATTAGTTTACAACAGTTATAATATGAGTCAGGCATTAGTAGAAGCAGTATTCTTGCTCAAAATAAATTACATCCGTACCATATTTGACTTACAAGGAAACCCACAGAAGTGTCCGCCTCCGATTTTCATGAACTTGTAATATGTTGTACTTTAGATCAAAATAACACATACATTTTTTATTATATGTGCCCTTTCGCAAGTTTAGGAGATGAAATATCCCTTTGAAGAAAATCGGTTTTTTTTATTCGAAGGAAATAATGAAAACTATAAGAAATAGAAAAAAAATATTTTGAATAAAAGTTTAATGGTTTGAAGAGTACTTTACAGAAATTATTTTAATAATTATAATAAGAAGAAGTAGTAGAGGAAATATTAACAAACAAAAAATTTTTTTCAAATAATTTCTGTAAAGTACTCTTCAAATCATTCAACTTTTATTCAAAATATTTTTGTGTATCTCTTATAGTTTTCATTATATTCCCTTTGAATTAAAAAAAAAACTGATTTTCTTCATAGGAGTATTTCATCCTCTAAACTTGCGTCATTTCTGCGATTTTAATAATTTTAAGAATAAAGTTCACTGTTATTATACAAAACAGTATCATATATTTGCAACAAACTTAATTTTAATTAATATTACATAAATTCAGTTCATTCATTCACGATTGAAAATGTGAGGAGAAAATTTCAAGACGTCTAAAACTTTACTCGACTACCCTCAAATAAGTTTTTTCTTTCTTTTAGCTGTAATATTTGTCCGATAGTAATGAAAATTGGAGATAAGTACCTTTACATTAAACTAAATGTTTTATGATTCTACTCGAACTGTTTGTTTCACAATAAGTGCATAAACGAAACGATTTGCGAATCAACTCCTGCTGCGAACCTGCCCTGGTCTCCCCTATGATAGAACAAAGCAATACACATTTACATAACATTTACTAACATAATTGTGTTAGTAACGATCTGCGTTATCGACATTGTTTGAATTCGTCATTATTTCAGCATCTTAATGACATAAAATATAATAACTTTATATGCAACGGTCTCGAGATTTTATTAAAAAATGTACAATTGAATATTCGCCAAGTAATGTGGTATCAATAATAAAGGATGCATATTATAGATATAGAGTAATAGCTAAACTAAATTAAATCTTCCCGAATCGATGGATAGAACGCAGTGAGTTTCGTGGCCAGCTCGTTCGCCTGATATAATACCGCTCGACTTTTTTCAATAGAGAACGATAAAAAATATTGTATACCAAAAAATATGGACTATATCAGAAGATATAAAGCGATAAATTATTGCAGTATGTGTGATAATCAGTATAAGAGTGTTCAGTATAAGTGTTCGGTATCAGTATAAGAGTAAAAAGTATGTCAGAAATTCAACGATCACAATTTTGTATCTATATAAACGGATATCATTTCGAGCACCTCTTATGAAGTAAGAATCATTATTTTACTCCTTTACTTAATGCTGAATGACCTTGTGTTATAGATCGTTGAAATCGTCTGCATATCCGCTTTGCACTAAGAATAAAAAAAAATATAGTATGTCATTTAAAAAATGGAGATAATGTTGACCTTTCGAAGCACTTCCACTCGGACAAAAATTATTATCGTCATATGATAGTCCGCTTTGTACCGTAAAATTTTGGTTACAAATTTTTCTCTAGATCATATAAATTCAAAAATATCTAAGGTAATAATAGTTATTATCTCAATCTGTATCCACGCGTTTATAGATATTGAATATGTTATACAGTACTCGCTCGATAACTTTCTGCCCAAGGAGCTGTAGGTGCGGAAAATTCTTAGAAACAGAAAGTTATCAAGAGCCCTTCTTCTGATGGCGCATGCATGTCAGTCCGTGATTGGCTGATAAGCAAAAGTCTTGGCCATTGAGAAGGAAGAAGAAGAAGCATGCGCGTCAGCTTATAACCTTACATCACTATTCGACTGTGTCCCAATCATATAGCGAATCACCCGCACTACACCGGGTCAGTGCATATCAAAAACTGTTACACATGAAACAATCATTTAAATAGGAAAAAATATGAGCATTTTGAATTATTAAATACGTAACAATGATATTATCATATTAATTAATAGAATATACATTAACCAATAGAATATACATGTGTAACAATTGTTTCTATGTCAAAATCCTTCATTATGCCATTGTGTTTTGATATTTTATGTATTCAAGTGTTCTTCAGTGTGCACTGACCTGGTGTAATACGGGTGACCAAATTCGCTAATAGACATAATATATCTAGACCGAGCGTTTGCTTTTATTTGAAGAGTGGAGGTAAGATGCACATAGAAAAGAATGCATTGCGTTTTGGGACCCTGCGTTCTCTCTCATTCGTGCATGTGTATGCACGTATAATGTAAATCAAATGTATGTGCAAATGTTACATAATAACATAATGTACATTAAATGTTCCATGCATGTACATATGTACGTATAATGTATATTATTAGCATATACAAGGTGTCCCATTTTAAATGACTTGAAATATTTCTTGAATTATATATTTTAGAGAAAAATGATTTAGATAAAAGTTTTAAGGTTCAAATAAGGTTAATAAATGATGTTATTAGATTTTGAGTCTGAGGCCCATGTTGCTCCCAGTAAGACCCAAGTCAAATTATTTAAATGGACCCACATTTTTTTATACATTTTTATAGCTTATCTCGAAAGCTTTCGAGAACACTATAATAAAATATTTTTTCGTTAAATAGTTCGAGATATGCGACTGCAAGTTACGGTAGTGCTAGCATTAGCATTACTCAAGGTATACCACGCGGAAGTTGTTCGGTCGGATGTACATTTCTTTCATGTATGTATGTGTGTATGCACGCGCGCGCGTATGTGTAAAAAAATTCCTTTAGATTTAATACTTGTTTGATTTTATTTCATTAATATATTCTTGTACATTTCATATTATATTATTATACACAAAATATCAATTTTTAAATAAAAACTATTATTTGAAACAATTTTTTTTTTAGTTTTTCTTTTAGATTTAGTAATTCGATTTGGATTTTCTTGGATTTATTTCAAATTATTACTTTTTTGTTTGAAGTAAACATAATATTCTGTTAAAAATCTAAAAGCAATTATCATTGATTCACTAATATTTATTATATCAATATTCATGCCAAATCCAATATAGGATTTGTTATATTTGATTATGTTGCTAAACTGTTGCCAAAAATGTAAGGCAATCCGAGCAGATTGGTGGCAGAAACTAAGAAGAAGCTTGTAACGATCTGACGGCAGATTGATACCAAAAACCGAGCAGATCCTACTGCAAGACAGAATCTGCGCGGTTTTTGTTGCCAATCTGTTCACATTGCCTGTCAGTAGGTTCTGATGACAAAATACGAGCTGAATGCGGACATAGATAGCTATGGTTTCGGCATGGAATTCTGATTAAATTTACTGCCAACCTGGGCACATGTCACTATTAATTTGCTTACTGGGTATTACTTGATATTTGCAGGATATGTTATGATATACTGTGAATGTTATAATGTAACGTGAACATTACAAGAATACATTATATAAACATAAGTCGTAAGAATATCGTTAGATTCACTGGGATCACTGCGTGCCGCTCAATTGTCAGGCAAGCAATGCAGTCGGAACATAAATGTGGGTCGCTTGGGATCAAAGCTACTAAGGGAAGATATGCAAACGTTTGGAGTGTGTATAACAATCTTCGGTTGCCAGCGGTCATGAAACACGAGAAAATTAGGAATTAATTTTTTTTTTATAATACATTTACAGTGTTTGTCTATGTTACAATGTCCTATCTATGCAATGTTCCTGCAATTTTTTATGTTCTATAAACTTGTGTTTAAACTGTTTTAAGAAATTCATGCATATTAAAACGATTTAATTTCGTTAAGGTTATTATGCC